TTAGGGAGAATATACGTCAACAGAATAGAAAGTCGAGAAATGAACCCACAACTATATGGTCAATTCATCTTCAACAAAGCTGGAAAGTCTAGTGGGAAAAAGTCTCTTCAACAAACGGTGCTGGGAAAACTGTAAAGCAACATGCAAAAGAATGTAACTGGACAATTTTCTTTCACCATACAAAAATAAATTCAAAATGAATGAAAGACCTAAATGTCTTTCATGACATGAAACCATTAAAATCGTAGAGGAGAACACAGGCAGTAACTTCTTTAACCTTGGCTGTAGCAACTTCTTACTAACACATCTCCTGAGGCAAAAGAAGCAAAAGCAAAAATGAACTATTAGGACCTCATCAAGATAAAAAGCTTCTGCACAGTGAAGGAAACAGTCAACAAAACTAAAACGCAACCCACAAAATGGGAGAAGACATTTGCAAACAACATATCTGATAAAGGGTTAGTATCCAAAATATATGAAGACTTATCCCCCCCCAAAAATGAATAATCTGATTTAAAAATGGGCAGAAGACATGAATAGCCATTTTTCCAAGGGAGACATCCAGATGGCTATCAGATACATGAGAAGATGCTCAACATCACTCATCATCTGGGAAATACAAATCATACTACAGAATGGCTAAAATCAACAAAACAAGAAACAACAGGTATTGGCAAGGATGTGGAGAAATGGGAACTCTTTTTGCACTGTTGGTGAGAATGCAAACTGGTGCAGCCATTCTGAAAACAATGTGGAGGTTCCTCAAAAGTTAAAAATAGAACTATTCTACGATCCAGCAACTGCACTACTAAGTATTTACCCAAAGAACACAAAAATATTAAGTGAAGTTGGGGGACATGGGTGGCTCAGTTGGTTAAGCCCCAACTTCAGCTCAGGTCATGCTCTCACAGTTCATGAGTTTGAGCCCCACACCTGGCTCTCTGGCATCAACAAGAGAGCCTACTTCAGATCCTCTATCTCCTTCTTTCTCTGCCTCTCCCCTGCTCATTCTCACTGTCTCAAAATAAATAAAATTTTTAAAAAATAAGCATTTAGGGGCGCCTGGGTGGCTTAGTCGGTTGAGCGTCCGACTTTTCTTAGGTCATGATCTCGCGGTTCGTGGGTTCAAGCCCCGCGTCGGGCTCTGTGCTGACTGCCAGCTCAGAGCCTGGAGCCTGTTTCAGAGTCTGTGTCTCCCTCTCTCTCTGGCCCTCCCCTGCTCACACTGTCTCTCTCTCTCTCTCTCTCCTAGAAATAAATTTAAAAAATTAAAAAATTAAAAAAAGCATTTAAAATTACTAAGCAAAGGGATACATGTACCCCAATGTTTATAGCAGCATTATTTACAATAACCAAATTGTGGAAAGAGCTGAAATGTCCATCAACTGAGAAACAGATAAAGGAGATGTGGTATGTGCATACACACACACACACTACACACACACACACACACACACACACACACACGCACTGGAATATTACTCAGCCTTAAAAAAAGCATGAAATCCTGCCATTTGCAAACACATGGATAGAGCCAGACAGTATTATGCTAAATGAAATAAGTCAGTCAGAGAAAAACAGATAACATAAGATTTCACTCATATGTGGAATTTAAGAAACAAAACAAATGAACATGGGGCAGGGAGCGGGGGAGAGAGCCAGAGAGACAAATCAAGAAACATTCTTAACTATAGAGAACAAACTGATGGTTACCACGGGGAGGCGAGGGGGGCGATGTGGGGAATGGGTTAAATAGGTCATAGGGATTAAGGAGTGCACTTGTGATAAGCACTGGGTGATGTCTGGAAGTGTCAAATCACTATGTTATACACCTGAACCTAATATTATACTGTATGTTAACTGGTATTTCAATAAAAACTTTTTAAAAATCTAGGAAGGAAAAAAAGAATTTGGAGGTCAGAATGGATACCGTAATGAAGACAACATGTCATGCTAAATTAAATTTTATATAAATATATATGTATGTAGCAATTGAATAATAAAGACAAAGAATCATACAGGAGGAAAAATGGGCAAAGACTGGAAATACAAAGAAAAATTCCAACAACAAAGATACCCAAAATTACTAAGGAAGAGGAAATGCAATTCAGGTAACTAAGACATTTCTTTCCTGGCTAGAAAAACATAAATATAAATCATACCTATGTCTCCTGGGGATGTGAAAAGGAAGCCACCTCATACATTGCTGCCAGGGGGAATGTAAGGAATAACCCTTATATAAAAACAATGCCTCATATCCATTAAAATTAAAACAAACCCAGGGGTGCCTGGGTGGCTCATCTGGTTAAGCATTTGACTTCAGCTCAGATTTCAGCTCAGTCATGATCTCGAGGTTCAAGGAGTCCAGAGCCTAGCCCTATTTCAGATTTTCTTGTCTCCATCTCTCTCTGCCCTCCCCCCGCTCATGCTCTGTCTCTCAAAAATAAACATTAAAATTTTTTTTTAAAAATTAAAGCAACTCCAGAAACCTTTCTCTCAGTAATAAATCTATTAGCACCTAAGGACATATCTTCAGAGAATATTTATATAATAATGTTAGCATAACAGCAAAAAAATGGAAACTAAGGCAAAAAAGGAAACTAAGTAAACGCCCATCTGCTGATAAGAAGTTGAAGAATATATGGCACCTGCAGAATAAGATCTGTTATGCAATCATTCAAATTTTAAATGAAAAACATTAGCAAATTTTTAAAAATATGAAACTTTTAGCACTGGGTCCGTTGTAGAGAAACAGACTATATCATAATATGCTGGTGTGGGTATCCATAGGTGCAACTTTATGCGAAGGAAACTAGAAGACTCTATTAAAATTTTAAATTCCCATGCATTTGGACCGGGCAGCCCAACTTTCAGAAATCTGTCCTACTAATACATGGCATGATGTATGTGCAAATATATCAAATCATTATACATTGTACACCTCAAATCATTATACACTGTACACCTTAAACTAATACAATGTTATATGTCAATTACACCCAAATAAAACAGAAAAAAGAAAGATAACTGCAAGGATTTTTACTACAGCCTTTTATTTAATAAGATTTGGAAAGAAACTAAATGTCTACTGTTTTTTAAAAACTTTTTTTTTAATGTTTTATTTATTTCTGTGAGAGAGAGAGACAGCATGAGCAGGGAGGGTCAGAGAGACACGGAGACACAGAATCTGAAACAGGCTCCAGGCTCTGAGCTAGCTGTCAGCACAGAGCCCAATGCGGGGCTCGAACTCATGAACCGTGAGATCATGACCTGAGTCGAAGTAGGACGCTTAATCAACTGAGCCACCCAGGTGCCCCTAAAAACATTTTTTTAATGTTTATTTATTTTTTATTTTTTTTAAATAAAAATTTTTAATGTTTTATTTCTTTCTTTCTTTTTTTTTTTTTTTTTACAAATAGTTTATTGTCAAATGTTTATTTATTTTTGAGAGGGAGACAAAGTGCGAGCAGGGGAGGAGCAGAGAGAGAGGGAGACACAGAATAGGAAGTAGGCTCCATCCAGGCTCTGAACTGTCAGCACAGAGCCCAAAGCAGGGCTCAAACCCACAAGCCATAAGATTATGGCCTGAGCCAAAGTTGACCACAACTGACTGAGCTACTCAGGCACCCTCTAAATCTTTACTCTTAATAAAATGATTGAATATATGATACATATACACAATGAAGTAATAACACAAACTTGAAAAAGAATGAGATAACTCTATATCACTGAATGGGAATGATAAAAAATAGCCACTATGTTGTATACAATGTAAACAAAACACTATAGGTGAGTTTCCATAATTTGAGAAATTGAAAAGAAATGGTCAGGGAAAATTAGATGCTTTGCCTTTTCTAAGAATCTCAAATGTTTGTACAGGTGAACCCTCTCCCTCCCCAACCTACCTTATCTGACCTCAACCGGTTTTCTACATGCACTGATACTATACTCATTTCCTCTATAAAACTCAGTAGCTTCAAGATATCTTTTCTCCTTTCCAGACATAAAAACAGTATTAAAATGTATATATTTTTAATTTTAATTACCCTTTATCTCATTACTGTAATTAATTTTTTTCATACTCCTTGGTGGAAATCCCTTGGTATAAGTCAACATAACAGCTCTGTTATTCCACATCTCCTGAATGAACTACAATCCCTTTCGATTCTGAACAACAGACACTTCTTTGATTAAAGAATCAGTGCTTGTACCCTACTATGTTCATAAATCTCAGCCTACCAAGTTTCACAAGTCATAACAAATGTGGGGTTAAGGTTTGAGGCTTCCTTCATTATTATTTTGTGTATTATTACACAGACCAATAGAAATAAAATCACAGTATTGTGTTTACCCTCTTTCCCAAATCTTCTCTCTTGAAAAATATGGGTACACTTCATTATTGTTCTATGTCAGGGGTCAGTAAACTGGGGTCTGCTACCTGTTTATATGGCCTGAAAGCTAAGAATGGTTTTCACATTTTTAAATGACCAAGGGTAAAATCAAAAGAAAACTAGGGGTGCCTGGGTGGATCAGTCAGTTAAGAATCTGACTCTTGATTTCAGCTCAGGTCATGATCTTCCAGTCATCATATTGAGCCCCATGTCGGGCTCCACAATGGGCATAGAGCCTGTTTAAGACAAGACTCTCTCTCCCTCTCACATGCGCAACCCCCTCCCATTAAAAAAATATATTTTATGACATATGAAATTAAATTTTCAGTGTCCATACAAAAAGTTTTACTGGAACACAGCAATGGTCATTTGTTTGGTATTGTCTAATGCTGTTTTCACACTACAAAGACAGAGGAGAGTATGAGCCTAAAAATATACCTTATCTGGTTCTTTACAGGAAAGATTTGCCAACCCCTATGTTCTATGTGATACTACGTACCCTACATAAATTCTATACTTTTATCTAAACATTCTCCAGCCTTTCCTTCCATATTCAGCATAAAGTCTTGTTAATTATCTATTACTTTCCAGGCGAACACATTCTGCACAGACCTTTAAATGCACTTCCTCCTGGGAATGTCCTGAGTCTAACCACATCCCTGGTCACCTACAAACAGAAAGCCAGAATGGAGTTCTAGCAACACCTTAAAAGTTACAAATGAACAAATCAAAACCAAAACCAAACATCACCACCACCAGCCACCCTCCAAGGCAAAGTTAAAGAGGCTAACCTCCAGTTAGTGGCTTTCCAAACTACCCTATCTTAGAATTGAGGCGTTCTGTAAATTAAATTTTACTGCCACTAACATTCCTAAGGGTCAAATAACAATGAGAGAAAAAACTAAATGTAATTTTCCCAAGTTTAATCCTCTTTAAATCACTGGCTACCAGAAAACGGGGAGGGGGGAAGTAGACCAACTATATATAGTATGCATGATCCTAAATCCCTACATTTGATATTTTCTGCAAGTAAATAGTTTCTAGTTCCCCAGGGTTAAAGGTTAAATATTGATTGCACTGCGTTTGTAGACAACATCACAACTTACATAGGAACAAGATGGGCCGTTGGGCCACTTCCTCTTATAGGGTACACCAAAACTTGCCCATCTCATTCAGTCAGCATTCTGCACACCAAGCGTTGGGGGAGAGGAAGCCGGACAAGCTGCCTTTTCTACGAACAATGTCAGACACGCCTAGCACTACCTCCTCCCCAGCCTCTTCACACCTCTACCCTGCACGAGATCCTCCTCAGCTCTATCCCCTCTATTCAGGACCTCCTCCTCAGTCTCATCATACCTCTATCCTCCAAAGTTACAGGCCTGCCAAGCTTTCAGTAGCAGAAGAGGAAAGCAGGAAGGCTATAATGCAAAAGTCTGGAGTTCCCACACAAGCATCATCTGCTCTTTGGGAGGATCTCAAGCCATAGCCCCAAAGGTGAAAAGAAATGGGCCTTATCTCGCACCCACTTAACAGGTGTTTACCGCACGCTTGCTTGCGGTCCGGCGGCGAGGGAAGAGCTGAGGAGACAAGGTGCAGCAGAATGGTAGTAGCAGCTCTCCTGGGACTCCCTCTCCCCTGGAGGAAGTAAACAATGTCTTTAAAGCCCGTCTAGAAATACGAGGAGCGTTTGTTTGAAGCCCACGGCAGGGTCAATTTACCTAATCCCGTAATGTTAGAAGGCTAAAACTTAACCAGTCGGAAGTGACGTGCCAGCTAAGACCCGCAAGTCCGCCACGTAACTGGCCGCCGCCTCAGCTAGCCACCTTCTCCCTGGACTGGCCGGAGAAGAGGATAAGTGTAGCTCGAAGTCTGCAACCGCCCTTGCCCTGCCCCAGCGGCTCCCAGTCCCACCCGGGGCCAGTGAGCGTAGCCAGAGCCGGGACCCGCAGCCTGGGCGGGACTGCAGAGGTCCCTGGCACCCAACGGCGCCCTGCGGGCAATGGGGCTTCAGCGCTCAACCAGGCGCATGCGCGGCCCTCTTCTGCGGACTCCTCGGGTCACCTGAACGACCGCATTTCGGCCACCTGCCCCTCCGGGTCCCTTCTCGCTCTTGACTCCTCCAGCTGTTTCTTACCTCTGGCCCCCCTCCTACTTCTCTCGCAGGCACTGCTAGGCTTTCCAGGGGCCGCCAGCCGACACCAAGGCTTCCACTGACACGAGCCTCCCGGCCCGGCTTCCGCTTCCGGCGAGTATTGTGTGTCGCGCTGCGGGGCGGGGGCGGGGGGAGGAGGAAGGAGGGAGGCAGCGCTCCGGCGGCTCCGCGCCCCGCACTCCCGGACCTGAAGCCGGGAAGGTAGGTGCTGTCCCGCTGCCGCGCCCGGTCCCTGGGGCCTGCCCCCGCCGGCCGGCTCCGCACGCCGCGTCCCAGCGCCCCGCGACTGCGTCACCGGCCCCCCGCACGTAACCACAGCTGCCTCCGCCCGCCTCGGGCCCGGGCGGACGTTTTGCCGCCCCGGCGACGTCAGCGCGTCCGGCGTTGCTTGGCTACCCTGCCGTTCCCCCGTCCCGCTGCCGCTCGCCTCCCCGGGTGAAACTCTGACGCAGTCACCGCGGGCCTCGGCTGCGTCATAGCGGCGGGCATCCCACCTTCACGTCACACCTCCTCCTCACCTGGACACGCATTCCTCCCTCCCTGTCAACCACGACGTTTCCTCTCCCCCTCTCCAATCCCCCTACGCCAGATCTGGCGAGAGAAGATGGAGACGAGGGTGGGACTGAGTTGTGGACGGCGCTCAGGAGAGGGTCGCAAGGTGGGACCCCCGGACGGTGGTAGAAACAAAATGAGGACGTCCCTGAAGTTTGCTCTTCTACTGAGACACAAGGAATAGAGGGAAAGAAATTACCTACCTAGAGGCACCCGAGGCCTCACTATGGCTGTAATTCCAAGTCCTCTCCATGCATCCCTAACCTTTCCCCCATTTCTCTTTCACACCACTTCTTTGCCAGTCTAGATCCATCCTGGTCCCTAACTCTGCGTACACTTCAACTCACCCCAGGTGAGGAGACCACCTAATTTCTAGAAAAAAGGGACAGGTTCACTAGTCAAAGTTGGATTCTCTTCGGTGAAGAAAAATCATCTGACTGAACTTCTCTCCTGGTTGAGGAAAGAATTTGGGTCCAAATAAATTATCAGCTTCTACTCCAAATTGAACGCTTTTCACGTATGCCAACAATATATCCAATAATCATTGTTAACCTTACTCACCGCATGGACACTTCTTTCTTAGCACTTAGACCTACTAAATTTTCATTTCTTCTGCGGGCAGGGAGGGTGGATAGAGAAATCCAGTTTCATGGATAAAAGTGGTGATTTTCAAGGAAGGAGTGAGGGACCAACGTTCTGCTTTATAAATCTCTTTGATGCATTTCAAATATTTTGAACCTTAACTTGAGAGAGCCTTTAATTGCCTTTTTCTCTAATTCCCGGCGACTCCAGAACCTACTAACTAGTTGGAGGCACAGTACATTCAAGGAATTAGTTATCAGTACCTATTTCAAGACTCCAGTCACTACTGAATATTTAGAATACACTTGTCAGCCCTCTTTTCAAGAAGTATATACTAATATACTCTTTAGGTGTAGTTGCCACGTATTTATCACCTTTCAGCAGTTCTAAATGTCTAAGTGCATGCAAAGAAATGGAATGTTGGGTGAATAATGTCATTTCAAGAAGAAGACACACTTCCCCTAGACTACTCTGAAAAAGGGAAGAATGATTTCAAGTTTCCTGAAAAGAAGAGGTCGTTATCCTTGCCTAACTTATTCCTTTTATTACCCTTGAAAGAGTGAGAATGGCAGAGAAGCCTATGCTCTAGGGGCTATTATAATAAAACTCTTCTGTAACATTAAACTTTAAAATATACCTAAGAAATCTTAATACTTTGACTTTTATGGCACTTTTCACTTTCCCAAGCTCCTTTCTCATCTGTTAGAAAAATATGTCTAGTAGGGATACAATGGTCTGGTTTTAAGATACATGTGGGCTGAGCCTGGATCAGGAGAAGTGTGCTGGGCCAGAGTTGAAAAAAGCCTCTATAAGAGAAAGCTGAGGTAAAAGACCAAAGGGATTGGTGGTTCAGTGTCAGTTTGCTGAACAGAAAAAAAAAAATTAGATTGATGGCTGGGAGTCACAAGATTTGGAAATAGAGAAACAGAAAAGGTTTTATCTAGTGAAAGAGAAAATGTAAAATACCAAGATGGGGCTAACTGGAGTTAGGATGTATCATGGGAGTGAATGCCAGGCCAGGGATACAAAAAAATTAAACCTCCAACTAATATTTTTCTTTCTCTGCCCCCTTTTTATCCCTAAGTTAAATAATGGCAGAGACAAGTCTGTTAGAGGCTGGAGCCTCTGCAGCCTCCACAGCTGCAGCACTGGAGAACTTACAGGTGGAGGCAAGTTGCTCTGTCTGCCTGGAGTACCTGAAGGAACCTGTCATCATTGAGTGTGGGCACAACTTCTGCAAAGCTTGCATCACCCGCTGGTGGGAGGACCTAGAGAGGGACTTCCCTTGTCCTGTTTGTCGAAAAACATCTCGCTACCGCAGTCTCCGGCCTAATCGACAGCTAGGCAGCATGGTGGAAATTGCCAAGCAGCTCCAGGCTGTCAAGCGGAAGATCCGAGATGAGAGCCTATGCCCCCAGCACCATGAGGCCCTCAGCCTCTTCTGCTATGAGGACCAGGAGGCTGTATGTTTGATATGTGCAATTTCCCACACCCACCGGGCCCACACCGTCGTGCCACTGGATGATGCCACACAGGAGTACAAGGTGGGGAACCAGACACATGATGCCAACATGGGGCATGAGAGAGGGGCACAGAAGATGGGAGACTCCCTGGGTAGAGGATCCTAAGTTCCCAACAGCCAGACTGTAACTGGTCTTTTACTCTCTAGTCCTCCCAGAGCTACAAACACAGAGGGCACACAGTACATCTGGTCAGTTATCCCCAAGCATGAGGAGCAGTTTTTAGGAGTCCCTCAAAATTTCTTTCTCCTTGTCCTAACATGATTTGAGTCTTATGGGTGAACATTGATATGTATGGTCTTCTAATGTATTATATAAATGAACAAAACCTCTTGGAGATTATCAAATTTAGGAAAAACTGAAAAGTAGTCTGCTCCAAATGTTCCTTATTTTCCCATTGGTATTGGGAATAGATAACGTCAGTTTACACTGATCCCCACTAGACTAAGATGTTTGCATCTTCCCAGATAATTGGTAATGTGGCATCTGGTTTAATTACTGCTGGGACACAGGGTAAATGTTCAAGTAGTAGGAACTAAAGATTATAATACGTTGGCAATGTATCAAGTATTTTGCTTAATTATGTTAATAAAATCTTAGAAGCAAGATTTAAAGTAGTCTACAGTATAAGTAATAAGGACTTTTTTGCAAGTGGTTAGAGTTGAATGGGAGGACAAGTTTAAAGAAGGCTGTCAGAGTACAGAAAGTCACTTTGACCATAATAGACAGTCACTTAAGTAAGAAAATGACAAGATTAGGGAAAGACATGGAGTTGGTGACATCTGGACAACTGAGATTCAGTGAGAGGAAAGTTCTTGGTGAGCAAGGAAGATGATGGGAACAGGCTGGTGGCAGGAGGAGGGACTGAAAGTGGACACCCCAAATGACAGATAAAGAAGAGAGTGGGATCAAGAGGTGGTGAGATGGACAGGAAGCAAACATATGGATTAAAACTAATGAGTTAACCTCTGAATGTAGGATATACCAGCCACTCCCAAATCCCACATCTCCCACTTCCCACCCTCAGGAAAAACTGCAGAAGTGCCTGGAGCCCCTGGAGCAGAAACTGCAGGAGATCACCCGCTGCAAGTCCTCTGAGGAGAAGAAGCCTGGAGAGCTCAAGGTAAAGGCAGGTGATTCCATTTGGGCTGCTTTGCAGACAACTAACCACACATTATTTAATCCACCAGTTCTGATTCATTGGAAAAATGCTGTTCTCTCAAAAATGGTATTTTGTCGGGCTTCTTTGTCATTAAGCATTGTACTTAAATTATTTGTCATTAACTAAGTACTGAGGAAGAAGATGTAAGAGGTAAAGGACGGATGGACAGGATATCTTACATCTGACAAGTTGAGGGAGTTCATTCCCATTGGTCTCCTTTTTTCTTGTAAAACAGGGAGAGAAGCAGGGAGAGAGCAGGGATAGGAGTTTCTTAGAGGGATTGAGGAGAGGAGAACTTGGAAGGTTCACTGGTGTAGAAAAAGAAGAGCTCCCAAAACTGCCCAATGACTTTAGGACTACATTCTCTTAAGTAATCTCAAATATGCTAGATGATGTTGGTTCATTCCTACACTGTTCTCCTCTCCACCCTACATCTATAGGATCCTATCTGTCTTTCAGGCAGGATAAAAGCTGCTTCCTATGCAGCCTTTCTTGACCCTTCAGAAATTGATTTTCTTAATTTTCATATAATTTTACTTCTCTTTTGTGCATTACCATATTTATAGCATGATATTTTGCTGTCTCATTTTATTGGACAGTGAACAATTCCTAATAGTGGCAGTAATAACTGTTTATTGAGTCCTATGTGTTAATTCATTGGATGTCCATGACATTCCAAACTTACAGGGTTATGTTAGGCTTTAGTGGGACCTAGATCATCTATCAGACAAAGGGAAGGAAGTCTTGAAGGTCATCTTTAGCAAGGGTGAACTTAGATCCTTTGTAAAGCGAGTATTATGACCCCTAGTTATCACAGGAGGAAACAACTTGGATAAGTACTAGTCCAAGATCACATAGCCAGTATGTGGCAAAATCAGGGATATTAGCTCTGCATGAATCTATAAATATGTATTAAATTTCCGGTATAGGCCAAATTATCAAAAACACAGTCCCTGTCCTGCTTAAGTTTACAGTCAAGTAAAGAAAACAGATAATGACATGGCACAAAAAGCACAGTTGCAAGTCATAAGAAGACAACATAGAAATTTGGCTTCATTAAAAGCTTCCAGAAGAAATCATGAGCTTTTGGAGTTGCGATTTAGGGATCACCAGAGATTAAACACAAGTTTGAAAATAGTAGAAATACTAATTTTTTTAACAATGTCAACATTTTGACAGAAAGCAAGTATTATTATTACTAAGTATTACCTTAGTCCTTTATATATTTGAATAATTTAATTGCAAAGGTGAACTTTAAAAAAAAGTTCTTTGTTCTTTTGGAGGGCTCCTGAGAAACTTAAAATATGTGAAAACGAAGCTTATTCCCAGTCATTAACTTTCCTGTTCCTGTTGATCACCTTCTTAAAGGTAAAGGATAAAAAGGGGAATAAAGATTTTTTTTAAAAACTTCTAAATGCTTGAACAGAAATGTGGTATTTTAAAAACCCAGTGGTCTCTGAAACTACCACCAACATTCCTTTTGTTTGAATTCTCCAAAACCTGTCCCTCATCCCTACTTCCAGAATCAGACCCAATGCCCTTTTTAAAAGTAAATAATTTGTAATTAACCATGCTGAAGTGGAAATTATAGGTAAAATAACTTATCTACATAATTTTAAAAAGAGACTAT